AAGTGTCTATCAAATAGAAGCTTTCAAGTTTCTTTCTCAATCAAAGTAGAAGTCGATTAAGAGCCCATATGAGCCATGAACCTCATAAAGCATTGATACCTATCAAACTAACATCTCCAAAGACAAATGGAATGTGAACAAAAGGGCATTATAATTTGGTTCGATAAACTAAATTTTAACCTAAAAGCTTAAATGTATGAGTGAAGGTCAACAATCTAATAGTTCTGACACGAAGTTCATTAGTACCTTAAAAGTTAGAAATGAGAATTAATGATGGGGAATGCATACAAACATTCAGGGAAGGAACAATATGCTCTTATAATAATGATGTAAATTTGATTATAATTAGCTTAGTAGTTAAATGCAACTAATTAGCAGAATAAATTGCCTAAGTATACATTATAAGCCTAGAAATACTCCAAATTAGAGAGTATCAAAACATGATGAATAATTAAAGTTACCCTTCTTCTCTTAATTCATGCAAAGATGTGTTCACATTAGCAACAATCCATCTATTGCTAAGTCAACAAAAAGAAATGATAAGTCGATGAAATTGTTGATGACGCAAAATTTAATGGAATGGAATCAATGAAATATAAACAGAAAAAAGAATATTGGGAGGAGACATCTCAACAAGAGCATCAATGGAGATGAATTCAATTCGTATATAAATCATATCAAGTTGCTATATTACTCCGATGAAGGTGAACATACATTATTCATCATTCCCTTGTAATCCCCATCTAAATGTATTGATAGGCTTACATTACATACTTAGACTAATAATTATATTAATCCAACATATTTAACACTTAAGCTAATTACAATCAAGTTCACATCATTGTCATCTATAAATACTGGGATGTAACATAAATTCTAGAGAATGAAAACATGACATAAGTATATAACAATATAATTTTGGTCAATACATTGCGTCAATAAAAATTTCAACATTTCCCTATTTTTTTCTTATTTAATTAGGAGCAATTTTTCTCTCTCTAATTAGTCAACTAAGGCTTCATTTGAGAGAGATTTTTTTATCTCTTTTTAAAGCAACTTTTAGTACAAAAATTAAATTTTTTGTTAAAAAAAGCAATAAAAAAGCTACCCCAAAGAAAGCCTAAATCTTTTATAGAATTTGAATCACTACTTAAAAAAAGAGTACCTAAACCTAATTTTCATATTTAATCTTAATGCCCCTCCACAAACAACATTAAAATCAAAATCCCAAGGATTATTATATTCTTTTCAAAATCATTTTTGATGGACCCGAATTCAGCCAAGCCCATTGATAGCTAACATGCAATCGCAGCCGCGTGTGGTCCCTCCAATATATATATATATATATAAGAATTTAGGACATTCGAGTCATAAAGTCAAATTCACTTATACATCACATAGATAAAATTCAAACCCAAAACATCTTAGTTAATAACGAAAACCCACGCTTAACAGACCAATTAATTTGAACACTTTTTTTTTTGTATTATATATTTTTTAATCTATTCTATCGTTTTGCAACGGTTTTAACATTTTCTAAAAGAGCTGCTAATGCCTTCGTCCTACATCAACACTCCTAAAATTGTTGCTAAAGCTTCTCCAGCGAACTCAAATATAACGGATTTTCCACGGTTATTAAACCATTGCAGTAGGTCCTAAAAAGTGCTACGAAAGCCTACTTTATTAGTAGTGCAAGATGAGCTGAGTATTAAAAATACTCAGCCAAATGTATAAATTATGAATATATAAAATGTGTTTCCTAATTATTTATGCATACGGAAAAGTATTTATGATAAATGAGTTGTGGAGAAGATAAAAAAACTCTGATGATCATATTTATTCATTTGATCATAACCTGTTTATTCTGCATTCAAGTGCCTTAAAAATCTTGGAACCAAATGATTTTTGGCTCGTTAGTTTCGTCTCTTTGAGACGCTCGATTTGATTATAACCAAGCCAAAAAAAATTGGAGATCTTCGGTCATTGAATTATTATCGCAAAATTTATTAATATGTTTCAAAACACATAATTTGAGTTAATTTGAGCTTAGATTGGATTACCTTTAATATAATTAGGTTCATTTTATTGAGTCGTCTAATTTGACAATTAAATCAATTTATAAAGCATACAGATTCTGTAATAAATAAGTACCAGGGAGTTCCCAAGGATCGAACTTGTAGAGATCGATCTCAGCGATGATGGTGACGGGGAGAGGACCGGAGATGGATTTCTTCTTGAGGTAGTGAACGACGAGCTCTTCGTCGGTGGGGTGGAAGCGGAAACCGGGAGGCAGGTGAGGTTGCTGGTGCGAGGCCGACGAGGAGTCGGTGCTCTCCATGGCGGACCTGAAGAAGAAATGTAAGGGATGACTGAGCTCAGCAAGCGAAGCGGGTGTTCGGGATTTTATTCATAAGAAGATGAGGCCAAAGGAGATTTGGGGGTCGCTAGCGGGATATTGGAAGTGCCGAAAGTATTTTTCCGTGGATTCCGCTTTTGCTCCCGTATATTCGCAGCTATAGAGTTAGTAAATTTTTTTTTTTTTTGGGTAAATTTGGGGTAGAGTTAGTAAATTTTACAAAGAGAAATAGTAAAAGAATAAAAAATATTTTTACAATTAAAATTTGTTTTTCCTCTTGACCCAGCGACATGACCTGTCAGGTCGAACCCCGCCAGGGGACGCTGCCCTCTTGGACTCTCGATATATCAGCGAAGCATACAATAATCGCTACCTGGTTCTACTAACAGAATCATATATGGCTGTATTAACATCAATACTAAAAAATGGACCGCCTTACTTTGCTGTAATTTTTAGAATAATATTTAATATGAATACAGTAAGATCTTATTCAGATTATAGAATTCAAATATTTAAGAGTTAAATAATGCATATAATTATAGAAGGATTTATTTATTACAACAAAATATGTCCTATAAATATAGTACAAAATCTTAAACATTCCATCAAATGGCATGTATTGATTCACTTGAACAATGATTAGTCTTTTAAAATTTAAATGCCTTAAAGATATCGAAATTAAGTGATCATATAACTAACATATAAATGAGTTAAGGTCACAACAAATCTATTATGCCTTAAGTGCTTGATTTGACGTTATTTAAACTCAAATTGGATCACTTTTGTGTTGCTAGTTTTGTTTCATCGAGCCAATTAGTTTGATTGTATGTTTATCAAAACAAAGTTTGAATAATTTAGAGTTGAATTTGGAAAGTTTTTCATTTCAATTTACATCGAGATTTGTGTTTGATCATGTTAATTTTCCTGTGGTGTTTCAGCCATTATTTGTGTGCTTAAGTGCGTCTGTGATTAAATATTAATATTTAATACATTTGTAGGATTATGATAAAAAAAAAGATCAAAGTTTAGGTTCAATTAGTTACTAAACAAATTTATTTTCAACCTAAAAGGTAATAATTTAGTATTTCAATGTGCTTAAGATATTTGATATGGGATTCATCATAAATTTTTATGTTCATGAGAAATCTTTCTCATGCTTAAGATATCTCATATGGGATTCAACATAGATTCTCATGTGCACGGGCAATCTTTCACTCATACGAGAGAATTTCATATTTACTAGTAGTGTCTATCAAATAGAAGCTTTCATGTTTCTTGCTCAATCAAAATAGAAGTCGATTAAGAGCCCATATGAGCCATGAACCTCATAAAGCATTGATATCTATCAAACCAACATCTCCAATAACAAATGGAGTGTGAACATAAGGAGATCATAATTTGGTTCAATAAATTAAATTTTAACTTAAAAGCTTAAATTTATGAGTGAAGGTCAACCATGTAATAGTTCTGATATAAATCTTAAATTTTTGAGGGGTCACGGAGTTCATTAATTAGAACCTTAGAAGTTAGAAATGAGAATTAATGATGGGGAATGAATACAAACATTCATGGAAGGAACAATATGCTCTTATAATAATGATGTAAACTTGATTATAATTAGCTTAGTAGTTAAATGCAACTAATTAGTAGAATAAATTGTCTAAGTATACAGTATAAGCCTAGATATAATTCAAATTGGAGTGTATCAATGCATGATGAAAAATTAAAGTTCCCCTTCTTCTCTTAGTTCTTGCAAAGATGTTTTCACAATAGCAACAATGCATCTATTGCTGAGTCAACATAAAGAAATGATAAGTTGATGAAACAGTTGATGACACAAAATTTAATGCAATGGAATCAACAAAATGTAAACAAAGATGCATACGGGGAAGAATAATCTCAACAATAACTTTTATAGATAAGAATTCAATTCGCTTCTAAAGCATATCAAGTTGCTATATTACTCACAAAAGATAGAAAAGAAGTAAAATAAGGATGAAGGTGAACCTACATTATTTATCATTCCCTCGTAATCCCCAACTACATGTATGGATAGACTTATATTACATACTTAGGCTAATTATTAGATTAATCAGACATATTTAACCCTTAAGCTAATTACAATCAAGTTCACATCATCCTCTCCTATAATACTTGGATGTAATATAAATTATACAGAATGAAAAACATGACATAAATTCGAAACAATATAATTTTGATAAATACATTGCGTCAATAAAAATCCAACAATTCCCCCTTTTTTCTTATTTTATTAGCACCACCCTTCCTCTCTCTAACTAGTAAACTAAATCTCTTATAGAATTTGAATCACTACTTGAAAGAGAGTAACTAAGCTTAATTTTCATATTTAATCTTAATGCCCCTCCACAAACAACATTAAAATCAAAATCCTAAGGGCCATCAAATTCTTTTCAAAATCAATTTTTGATGGACCCGAATTCAGCCAAGCCCATTGATGGCTAACGTGCAAGCGCAGCCGCGTGTGTGGTCCCTCCAACTCGCCGGAATCAAGCAACACGTAAGGCGCGAAACGGCACGAGAGTTTAGCTCCACACGTGCCGAGTGGTGACCCGTAACGGTTCGTTGAAAAAGCGGAATCCACGGACAAATGCTTTCGGCACTTCCCATCTCCCGCTAGCGACCCACCCACAAATCCCCTTGGCCTCATCTTCTTATGAATAAAATCCCGATCACCCGCTTCGCTTGCAGAGCTCAGTGATCCCTTACATTTCTTCTTCAGGTCCGCCATGGAGAGCACCGACTCCTCGTCGGCCTCGCACCAGCAGCCCCAGCTGCCTCCCGGTTTCCGCTTCCACCCCACCGACGAAGAGCTCGTCGTTCACTACCTCAAGAAGAAAGCCATCTCCGCTCCTCTCCCCGTCACCATCATCGCCGAGATCGATCTCTACAAGTTCGATCCTTGGGAACTCCCTGGTACATATTTATTACAGAATCTGTATGCTTTATAAATTGATCGACTGATTGGCTAATTAATCGAACAGAGAAGGCTAATTTCGGAGAGCAGGAATGGTATTTCTTCAGCCCCAGGGACAGGAAGTATCCGAACGGCGCGCGGCCGAATCGGGCTGCGACGTCGGGATACTGGAAGGCGACCGGCACCGATAAGCCTATTTTAAGCTGTGGAGGAACGCAAAAAGTTGGGGTGAAAAAGGCGTTAGTTTTCTACGGCGGAAAGCCGCCGAAAGGCGTCAAGACTAATTGGATTATGCACGAGTACCGCCTCGCGGAATCCTCTGCTGCTTCAGCTCGGCTCCCTGTAGCCACCGGCGATTACTCCTCCGCCGCCAAGAAGGCTTCTCTCAGGCTGGACGATTGGGTCCTTTGCCGGATTTATAAGAAGAGTAATAGTCATCAAAGGTCGGCTGAGCGGGAGAAGCTCGAGAATGGTTGCATCCACGGCCTGCTTGGCCCGCCCGCCCACGATCGTACTCCCCAGCTTCAGCTTCATCAGCCGAGAACCAACTCCTCCACCGCCAACTACACGGCTCTGCTCGATAGCGCGGACGAGACCTTTTTCGACGGGCTTCTTGCTTCCGAGGACTGCCAAATTCCGGCTTGCTGCAGGGCAAACTCAGCGATTTCTCCGGCGACAAAGCACTTGACTTTCTCTACCATGGAGAATATTACTCCCTCGGCAAAGCGATTCCAATCCAGCAGCAGCAGCGGCAGCGGCGGCGGCGGCGGCAACGGCTCTGCAGCTTCTATTCTGAACCTTCTGAACCTACAGATCCCACAGCAGCTGGAAGAAGCCGGCGTGGTATCCCTCTTCAGGCAGCCTTACTCGCTCTCTGAAATTAATTGGAGCTCTTAATTATAAGCTAGCAGGTATCATAAGGGTGGGCTTTATATTTCTTCTCTAGTTATTTGTTCAATTTCAACTCTGTAATTCATTTTGTATCGTTAGACTGGAATTCATACCCAAAAAAAAAATCATTTCGACTAATCTTGATGAATCCAGTTCTAATTATACAATATTTATTACACATTTGAATAGATAATTGCACCATGCAGTTAGAATTATAACTGGAGAAGAGTAATGATTGCAAAGATTTTAGTGCGCAGAAGAGATAGAAGACCATGATCTGGAAGCTAGCACGTATCTTTACAAAACAGAACAAAACTGAAGGTCCTCAACATCATGTCTGTACTGATTAATCATATATTATTCATTATTATAAATACTTAAAGTGATGAGTATTTATGTTTGTATGTATATATGAAAACTACGATTTTTAGTTTTTTAAGCTGTGCAGCGATCAGGTTCCTGTGCTTGGAGGAGATGATCTATTTTATTTACCATAAAAATTCCTTGTACAATTTTAGATATAAGATTAGTAAGCTTATTAATTTATTTTATATTTAAAGGTGCAACTCTTAAAGATTTGCTCCCTTCTACTCAAAGGGCAGATCCACCTTAAGCCCCGGGGGCAATTGCCCCCCTCCCCTCATTAAAAAATTTAAAAAAAAAAATCTTTATTATATGATTTTTAGGTAATTTATCTCTCTCCATCTATTTTTTAATCTTTCTAGCATAATTTAACACATTGTTAGAAAAAGATGGACCAAATACAAAGAGAAATAGTAAAGAGAATGCAAAATAACCTGACAACTAAAATTTATTACGGGGGCGCTGCTCGCAAAAATCCCTGTAAAGGTGCTGCCTCTTGATCTAGCAACCTGACCGGTTAGGTCGAATTCCGCCAGGGGTACTACCCTCTTGGATCCCCGGCATATCAGCGAAGCGTATAATCATCACGGATATGAACAAATATGGGTCAAGCCAATTATTTTTAAGTTTGTCCCTCTGGTTCTACTATCAGAATGATATCTGGTAGTATTCACATCAATACTAAAAAATGGACTTTCTTCGCCGTAATTTTTAGAATAATATTTAATATGAATAGAGTAAGGTCTTTTTTTTTTAATTCAGTAAGGTCTTATTCTGGTTATAGAATGCAAATATTTAAGAGGTAAATGTTTATAACTTTTATATCTGTTCGCGGTCCAAGGAGTATTCGCGAGCGGATAGAGAAGTATTTAACGTTCTTAGAATTGTACGAAAATCCGTGCACGCAATCAGATAATGGAGAGAGGGTTTAGCCATTTATGACAAAAAAACACACAAAGATTTTTACGTTGGAAAACCCTATAAAAAGGGGGAAAAAACACGGGGCCTAGCCCAGTTTGAACGAACAATCCTATCTAGTATTTGCAGTCGATACAAATGGGCCCTTCTTTGGGAAAAGGCCTTAGCTTGATGCACATCTATGTAGTACATTACTATGATGCAAATACCAAAGAGCTCACTATGACAATTCGCTTTGTTAGAAGGACTGCATCGGCGGGCGACGGCTAAGGTTAGGAGGACCGTAGTCAGTTGTCGCGAGAGGACTGGTAAGTCGGGCGTGGTCGACGTAAATCAGGAGGACTGTAGTCGGCAGGCGCACGAGGTCGGAAAGACTTAGTTGGCGGGCGACATAAGTCAATGGGACCATATATACGGGCGACGGAGTTCAGGAAGACTGTAGCGGCGGGCGACATTTATAGTCGTGAGGACCGGTAGTCGATGCGACGTGAGATCGGATAACGGATGTAATGCTGACGACGAAGATCAGGAGATACAAGGTCAGTAGATAGGTCCAGATTGCATGGAAAGAGAAATGCAATCTTCGCAGTATATAGTACGTCCAGCGAAGTCCGATATACCGGTAGAAGTCCGGCGCGGGTAGAAATGGCGATAAGTTGAAGGTCCGATCCTCCCCCCCCTCGGGTAGAGTCCGATCGTTCTTTGGGGTAGAGGAGAATTCCGGCTTCCACTTGGGCTGAGTTCGGCGTTCATGAGGAACTCTCTTGTAAATTGGGAAGAATTTCAGCATCCCATGGAAGTTGGGCCATGAATTCTGGCGTTCTCTCGAATATCCGCAGAGTATCCGGCTCTTCAGGCGGCTAGGTAAGAGCTCCGGCGGTCGGTCGGAGGAGGTGAGAATCTCCTGTTCCCCTTTCTCCTCTCTTTCTTCTCTCTCATTCAACTTGAGTCCCCTTTGTGGTAGAAGAAGGCTCGTTTTATAGTTTTTCTGGAGTGGCAATAGCCTTATAAAAGGCGTTGAGACAAGGGTGTGAATTAAGAGTGTTTTGATATGGACGCGAATACGATATCTTTGATCATGCACCGTTTCGTTGGGCATTTGAAGCCTTAATGATGTTGGAATTCGCGATCTTGGCTCGTTGGTTTCGTTCGTCGAAGCCGTTCGATTCGAGTATAAGCTCGTCAAAATCAAGACCAGTTTAGGTAACTCCAAATTGCAGGTCTTTGAACCTAATCCACAGCGCTTTTGAGCCCTTGATTCGGACTGCATTTGGGCTCGATTGGGTTAGATTCTTGGTTGTCGTTGGGGCTCGTATTTCCGAGACGCTCATTTGATCTATAAGCTCGCTGAAATCGGATCTTCAGGGCTCCGGATTTAATTTTGAAGATTCCGGCTATAGCTTTTTGTCTCGAGATTCGTGCGCGATTAAGATAATTTTGCATGACGATCAATATCAATAAAAGTTTAAAGATTAATGTGTTGCTTTATCCTATGGTTAGCTAATTGGCTGGTTTAAAAAAAAATAAAAAAGATTATTTCTAAATAAAGACAAAGTAAGAAATTGCAGCTCCGCCAGCTCATCTTGCATTGCAATGAACACAAGCTGTGATATGCTGATAGGTTTTCCACAAAGAATTTGACGATATTCTTTACCCTGCTGTCCCCATTAGTCCATTACTATCTGAAAACTTTTGCTGTTCACTGGAACGCATTTTGAAGCCTCTTGGCTTTTTTGCACCAAACAAAAAGCTCATATTATAAAGGAAACCTTAACTTTTTCATAATATCGGCCATGATATTACGTAGTTGTGGTGATTGGATATTTTTTGCCAGCAATTCTTTAATTTAATCTTCATAAAATAATAATAATACTAATATTGTTAAAAATGTTGTTTAACAAGAAACACAACTCATCTTGGCCTTATTCAATTAACATAAAAAATGCATAAAAGTTCATAATGAAAAATTGTTTTCTCATCTATAACCCAAGTCATTTTTTACTTACTATGATATTTTTCAAGAAAAAAATCGATAGTAAAAGTGAATATTGTAAATATAATCATTGAAATCATTAATTCTAATGGGCTATATTTACGACTCGTTGACTTGTTTTAAACGAACAATCTAATCTTTATTAATAGTGTTTTTAAAATTTCTGCCAAAAATCATTGCACTTTTTGCTCATGTTAGCTTCTATTTATCACCCTTATTCGCCTCTTTGCTTGCATCGGCTTTAGGCTTAAATCAATCGCTGAAAATTCATTTGTGTTTAATGTGAAAAGTTATTCTCACTACACACTTTGACTTTTTATATGCTGAATTTACGCTCCTTTTGAGACAATTTTTAGCCATTTGAGACAATTTTTTAGGCTGCTTTTTTAAAGTGCATTTTCAATAAATAAAACTTGTTCAATTTTTTTCATTAAAAATATTTTAAAAAAAACATTAAAAAAGTTGTCCCAAATAAAATCTTATTCATTTATTCTTTTTAAGTATATAATTAGATTTGCATGATTAGTGTAATATAAAAATGACTGATTTAGCACACTAAAATGTATAGTATAAATTTTGTGCATATAATTTTCTCTTCTCAAAAAACAAAAAAAAACAATAAATAAACAACAAAATAAAAATATTATTATCCAATAATAAATTAAAGGATTATATTATAGATATTATTATTTTAAAGGTAATATGAATGCCAATTGGCCCAATCTCCGCATGATATGCACAGGGCATCGTGGGCCGGACCCGTGACATTAAAACATCTTTCTCAACCGGTCACCTTGGCGTTTTGTGCTGACATTTTTCTCTTTATTTCCACTTTTCATCTCTTCTTCTCTCCCCCTCTGCTTTCAACTCTTTTTTTATACGACAAAGCCGCATCTTTATAGCATGCCATATAGAATTTTATAGCCCGCGCAATGAACACTATGGGGCTGGAATTTGCTTAATTCAGATTAATGTTGTTTTTCTAAAAAAAAATTCAAAAAAAAAAAAAATCAAAGCATAATCTAATATAATGAGATTTACATTATTAAATTTTATAAATTATTTATTAATTTTTAGTCGATTTTATTATTGATGCTCACATTACCTTTGAAATTCTGGATCCTTTTTGGCATCGAGTGATTAGACTTGGGTTCGTTTAGGACAATTCTTTATTACTTTCGAAAAGCTTTTTTTAGTCAAAATATTTTCTATCAGATTTTTTAATTTTTTTAGTACCAAAATTTTCTTAATTTCCAAATTCTTTTGGTAATTTTTTTTATAAAAAAAGTAGTAAGAAAGCTCTCAAGCACTACACAGCCCAAGGTTTCGATTTGGATGAATTTCATTAAAGCACTTCTAAGTACCAAAGTTATTTTTTGACTGGAAGCTATCTTTAGCCTCCCAAATAAACATTTAATCGGACACAACTCTTCTGGCCTATTGGTTGAGACTTAGGCTTCCAACTAAGAGGTCCAAGGTTCGAGTCATGTGTATGCGTGTTGTGTGTGTGAGTTTGCCTTTATTGGCCTAAATGTCCCAAAAAAAAAAAAAACATTAATCCGGAGTATTTTCTTCTTGCTTGCTTTCAGACTATATATATATGAAGATAATGGACATTTTTTTAGCAATTTATTACTTTAATGATGTAGAATTGATGTGATCTTGGACTTGTTGGATTCGTGCTCATCGAACCGCTTGATTCAACTATAAACTTATCAAATGTACAGCTCAGACGGTCATGATTTTAATTTTAAAAATATTCAATTTAAAGATTATCTCGAAATTCATTTAGATCATATGAATTTTTTAGTCATATAAAAAGAAAAAAAATATAGATAAAAAAAAGGACTGGCTTTATATTAAATGATGAGCATGCATGATAAAAGTAACATGTAATCCATAATTTTATGCCATACAAACATGCATGAATATAACTGCGACATGCATGGACATGTCTCATGCACAACATGTTCATAAGTTCATTTTTCTATTTATGCTTGCATTCATTAGGTTGCTTTCGATTCCAAAACAGTAAATAGCTCAAGCCTACATTCATTATATAAATATATATATATATATATATATTATATATATTATATATATATAATATATATATATATATATATATATGTATGCGAGTCCTCCAATTGAATATAAATTTATTAAAATTTGTGTGATATATGATTTTTGAT